GTTGGAAACAACTGCATTTAACTTAAATAAAGGACTTTACAATGAAATCTGGACAGAGTTATCCAAGGTGAACTGGGTAGATAGATTAGCAGGAATGACCGTAAGCGAGCAGTGGCAGACATTTAAGGAGGTAATTCATGATACTCTGCAAAAGCACATTCCATTAAGGAGGAATGATTCTAAGAAAGAGATAAATCAACCATAGCTAACCAAAGAAGATAAGGAGAGAATTAAATGAAAGGAAAAGCATATAAGGAGGCAAACATTGGTGATAGCCCTGAAGATTAGGATAAATTCAGAATTCAGCAAAGAAGTACTAAAAGATAATAAAGACTGAAAACAAGAAACTACGAGGGAAAACTAGCAAGCAATATAAACACTGATACTAAGAGCTTCTTTAAACATATAAAAAGAGCGGTGTCAAAGTGAACACAGACGTCTCAAACAATTAATCTGGGGAAATGGCTATGGGGAACAAGGAAACAGCAGAGGAGTTGAACAGATTTTTGCGTAAGTCTTTATGGTGAAAGATACTTCAAACATTGCATTAATACTCAAGAATATGAGGTAGGAATTAAGTACTATCGCCATTACTAGAGAAATAGTATTAAACAAACTAATGGGGCTGAAGACAGATAGGTCCCCAGGCCCTGATAGGCCCAAAAGAGGTAGCTACAGAGATAATGAATAAGACCATAAGATCTTTTTGACGCAGCTTTTGGTCACCTGACCCAATGTCAGTTTAAGTTTATCAGTGTCATATTTTGCTTTCTGATACTGTTGTATGTTTTAGAGTTTTAAGAGCTCCGGGTACATTATTGCTGTTGAAGGCTGGTGAGAACAGGCATTCTTGAAGACAAGGTGAAATAATGTGGAGGACCAAATGGGAACGAGAAGTTGGGAGACAGAGAGAGATGGTATCTGCAGAGTGTCTCCACAGATGGTAACCCCAGAGTCTGCAGCAGTAAAACAGCCTGCCACATTGTCAGCATTGGCTGACTGTCTGTAATTTCTAATAAACAAATTGCTCACCTTGGCCTCTAGCTAACCTTTCAGCAGGCAGGCAATATATAATGGGAAAGCCACATTTCTAACAAAAGGGAGAGCTATCTTCAAATTCAAGTTAGGGCATTTGGAAGTGAAAATTCCACACAATTCAATGCTGTTGGGTGGGGGGAGGAGCTCTGAGAGAAATTGAAGATTTTTGGCTGAAATTGGAGGATTTTTAATTGACAAGGGCATTGGGAAACATAGATCATAAGTGGGTAAATGGAATGAGTCTAGATTAAACTTGGCTGGAGAAGAGTGTAAGGGTTCCTCGAAAGTGGAATTGCAGGTAGATAGGGTGGTGAAGGAGGTGTTTGGTACACTTGCCTTTATTGGTCAGTGCATTGAGTATAGGAGTTGGAAGGTCATGTTGCGGCTGTACAGGACATTGGTAGGCTATTTTTGGAATACTGCATACAATTCTGGTCTCCCTGCTATAGGAAATATGTTGTGAAACTTGAAAGGGTTCAGAAAAGATTTACAAGGATGTTGTCAGAGTTGGAGAGTTTGAGCTATAAGGAGAGGCTTAATAGGCTAGGGCAATTCTCCCTGGTGCATTGGAGGCTGAGGGGTGACCTCATAGAGGTTTATCAAATCATGGGAGGCATGGACAGGATAAATAATCAAGGTCTTTTACCCAGTGTAGGGGAATCTAAAACTAGATGGCATAGGTTTAAGGTGAGACAGGAAAGATTTAAAACGGACATAAGGGACAACTTTTTCATGCAGAAGGTGCTGCATGTATGGAATGAGCTGCCAGAGGAAGTGGTCGAGGGTGGTTCAATTATGACATTTAAAAGGCATCTGGATGCATATGTGAATAGGAATGGTTTAGAGGAATATGGGACAAATGCTGGCAAATGACACTAGATTAATTTAGGACATTTGGTTGGCATGGAGAAGTTGGACCGAATTGTCTGCTTCCATGCTGCACAGCTCCATTACTCAATCATATTGAAGACTGTAGAAATAGGAACTGGAGTAGGCTGTTTGGCTCCTCGAGCCTGCTCTGTCATTCAATAGGATCATGGTTGATCTGACATTCCTCATGTCCACTTTCCTGTTTTTATAAGGATGTATTGGTTGTAATTTTCCAAACGTTCTTGGATTCTGGAGAAGTACCAGAGGATTGGAAACTGCTAATGTAACATCACTATTCAAAATAGGAAGGATGCAAAAAGTGGGTAACTATAGGCCAATTAGCCTAACATCTATTGTTGGAAATGTATTAGATATATTGACATATCAATATTTCAATTATATTGATTGGTTAAGTAAGTGGGTAAAAAGTTGGCAAATGGAGTATAATGTGGGAAATATGAAGCTGTTTATCTTGAAAGGGTAAACAAAAGAACAGAGTATTACTTAAATGGAGAAAAGCTGCAGAAAGCTGCAAAACAAAGGGACTTGGAAGTACTTGTGCATAAAACACAGAAAGCTAGCACACAGGTGCAGCAGATAGTCAGGAAGGCAAATGGAATGTTGGACTTTATTTCAAAGGGATTGGTGTATAAAGGCAGGGAAATCTTACTGCAACTGTAAGAGGTGCTGGTAACACGACATCGGCAGTACTGTGAGTAGTTTTCTTTCTCTTATTTAAGGAAAGATATAATTTCATTGGAGGCAATTCAAAGAAGGTTCACGAGGACGATCCCTGGTATAGAGGGACTGTCTTAAGAGCGAAGGCTAAAGAGGTTGGGACTCTACTCTCTGGAGTTTCGAAGAATGAGAAGTGATCTCATTGAAACATACAGGATTCTTAAGAGGCTTTACACAGAAAATGACAGAGGATGTTTCCCCTCATGGGAGAATTTAGGACCAGAGAACATAGTCTCAAAATAGAGGTGCATCAATTTAAGACTGAGATGAGGAGGAATTTCTTCTCTCGGGGGTTGAGAGTCTTTGGAACTCCTTGCCATTGTGAGCTGTGGAGGCAGAGTCTTTGTGCATATTTAAGGTTGAGATAGGTTCATGATTAATAGGGGAATCAAGAGTTATGAGGAAAGCTCAGGGAAGTGGACATGAGGAATGTTGGATCAGTCATGATCCTATTTAATGCAGCAGACTCAAGGAACCAAACAGCCTACTCCTCTTCCCATTTCCTACGGTCTTAATAGACTCCAGACAGGGCAGGAGAAAGGCCTGGAGGCCAGTGACATTTCAGTGCAGCTGAGAATTAGGTTTAAGGAAGCATATAAGCAATATATCTGAGAAATATTGGAGCTTGGAGAAACCACAGCCACAGAGTCAGCACAGTGATTCTAACTATCTGTGCAAGAGCTGGAATTGTGACTGAATATGTGCTGGAGTGCAATGCAGTTTCAGGAAGGATATTGCATTAATTTGACATTGGCAGTCATTGAGGTAGTCCATGGTGGATTGGCTATGGAATGAATTTCAAGGCTAGATATTTGAAAGTGTAGACTTGAGATCCCTTGCAAAGGAGACAAAATTGTAATGAGATTGATAAACCACAGTGTCACAAACATCTGGGTGGGAACTCTCTTGACCACACTGGTCATTTAAAGTGCAGTCTGAAGAGTGTTTTACCACAGATTGTCTATGAATTAATATTACTGCATGTTAATTCTAGATTTTAGAGTACAAGTTATGCATAATTGTTTCACTTTTCCAGTCTTTATCGGATAGCTTAGTTGGTTTGTTTAAAACAGTGAAAGGTGCAGGCTTTACTTTCTTAATAGGTACCTGGGATTTCAAAATGTATTCATTTTGAACAAAAAAAGACACTCGTCCCTACAGGATTATAACCTAAATGTGATGGACTCATACCTGATCACAATAAGAGAAGCAGGTAGGTGGATTCCATTTGAACTTCATTTGTATGTGATCCTTTACTGTATGTAAGAGTGGTTTCAAATGCTAGGTACCATTGCTAGCATTCTTGGTGCAGCTGTTTATCTCAGCAGGTATTTATGCTATTGACTGATCGAAAACAAACGGTGGGTGACTCAGGCTTTCAAATGATTTTCAACTGCTGTGCACAATTGGTTACTATGATATTAAGTGATAATTCAACCAACTGTATGATTATGTTTAAATTTCTCTCAAGTGTAAAGCTATCGATCAAGGGAATTAAATATTTTCTGTTCTTCTCCAACATGTATTTTACACATATATTCCAATTTATTTAGTTACACAGCAATTTAGATAAAAATAACATTTCATCCCTCATTCTCTTGCTCGTTTATCTTAAGTAGACCCTACTCATTAGTTATCTCACTCAGCTCAACAGTGTTTGCACTGAATACAAAATGCACTGTCTACGCTACTGAAGCACTTCTTCTATTTTCATATATTTTAAAGCCCTAGCCCATGGCCTTTAACATCTACTTTTTAGCCTTGAAGTCCATCATTGGAATTCACTGAAAAACAATTTTGCCATTTCACAGTTGCCCTTGTAAAGCACGGAACTCCTGCTTGCTCCTTACAAAGGCAATGACAGCCTTGGGGACTCCCTATGCATAGAGTCAGATGGGCCACTGTAGGCTATTTAACTTGCAGTTATCTTATAGCCTTGAGAATGTTACTGGATAGGATCGTTATTGTTCAATACTGTCTCAACTGATGATATCTGTTTGATAATGACTCATCATCTTGAAGAATGGTACTTCAATTGTATGCACCCATGAGTTTCAGGGAGTTCAATTGTAATTACTTCCTGTGCATGAACTTTATTACAAATGGGATCAATAAGATTTGCCAGGATAAAAGTTGTGACATGACAACTTACTGACTCAAATCATAATTCTGAAACAAAAAACAGGCACATCTTTTTTTTCTCAGCATTAAAACAATTATTATATTTTTCCTAGAATTTATAATTTGCAAATAGAATTGGTACCAGGTTGAAAAGGTTACAGTCTGTTGTCCTTGATGTGGGAAGCTGCACTCCATCATTGAAAGAAATTGAACTGGCTGTAGGTTCTACTTACATCAGTCTCGGTTATTGGAAGGTTTTCTCCTGCCAGCAGGTAACCCTCGACGAGATGGACGCAATAATCCACAGAGGAGCCTACCAGGATGGACAAAGAGATGGCTTCCACTGCTCCCATCTCCCAGCTAAACCAGTACATGATGGCAACCATCAAGCAGATAACACCTGGCAACATACAACGGGCACGCAGGTATTAATTCTAAAATACTCAATATCCAAAGCCAATCACAAGGAACAAGGAGGAAGTCAGTAAAACAGTGCCCAGAGAAAGGGAAAATAGGGTGTAAATTTAGGGTAAAAGATAGGAGGATCTGGAGTTCACTATCTGCAAGAGTGGGTGAGGCAAATCACTAACAATATTTAAAAAGTACTTAGACATGCAATTAAGAGCCATATCTTTAAGGCCATGGACTCGAAATTGGGATTAGAATGTATAGCTACTTGTTGTAATTGACACAAACATGATGGGCTAAATGTCCTCCTTCTGTGCTTTAAATTTCTAAGATTTCTATGATAAAAGAATGAATTTGCATATGAAAGGCCCTTTTGCCGTCAGTGAATCTTTATTGCAGTTATACACAGCTGTTTCTCAGGCAAAGAGGTATCTAATTTTAGCACAGCAAAGCCCCTATAAATAGGGAAGAAAATAAAATGACGAGGTATTACTCTTTGGTCAGGACATAAAAGGTACTACCTGGCTCCTCTTCAAAAATAGTCATAGAACTTTTTACAATTACCTGAGATAGCTGATGGGGCTGTGATTTAACATTTCATTAAAATTATCCACTTCTGATAATATAGTATTCCTTTGGTACTTGAATTGTGTCAGTTTGTGATCAAGTCTCTGGAGTGGGATTTTATTGCATAAACATTTAACTCAGAGGCAATTGACATGTACCGAGCTATGCTTGACACTGATTGATGATTATTGGCCAGGAAGTTCCTTTCTTAATTTTCAAACAGCTCTACGTGATCTTTTATATCCATCTGAGTAGGAAATAAGGCCTTTGTTAATATCTCATCTATAGCATGACACTTCAAAGAATTCTTACAGTGTGGAAGCAGGCCATTCAGACCCTCTGAAGAGCATCCCACCCGGACACCCCTCCCTACTCCCTGTAACTCTGCAATTCTCATGGCTAACCCACCTAACTTGCACATCCCTGGACACTACTGGGCAATTTACTATGGCTAATCCACCTAATTTACACATCTTTGGACTGTGGGAGGAAACCAGAGCACCCGGAGGAAACCCACACAGACACAGGTAATGTGCAAATTCCACCATCGCCCAAGGGTGGAATCAAACCTGGGTCCCAGGCATTGTGAGGCAGCCATGCTAACAACTGAGTCACCGTGCTGCCCCACTTCTAGGAGTTCAACACTCCCTTCGTATCAGATTGAAGTGTCAGTTTAGATGTGTACTCAAACCATTGGAATGTAGCTTAAATCCATAATCTTCTTGTTCAAAGACAAGAAGGGTTCTAACAAGAAGGAAATTTTAGGAAAGATCAACCTTTGCAAATTTTGGTCTGATAATAGTCTTGCGAGTCAATCCCTACTGCAAAATATTAAAATTAATGGATTCAGGGAACTTAACCTGGATTATATTTTTATCTCAAAAATAATTGACACATTAGTTCAACAAAAGCAAATTCAGTTTGAATCTTTTACTGCTTTTATATGTGACAATTTCAGTCCATTCTTGGCTTTTAATAAAAACAGTTTAAAAAATCACATAACAATAATCACAAACAGGGTGCAGGGCTGGATGAACACAGCAGGCCAAGCAGCATCGTAGGAGCAGAG